CTCAGGGGGGGGGCGGTCATCCGCCCCCCCCCCCCGTCGGTGCGAAGTTGGCGCAGACCCCCGTCGGTGCGCGGGTTAATTAATGTTTCTCAGGCCGTCGTCGAGCTGATAGGTTAGAGCTTGTGCAGTTTGAGTGCCGGTCAGCATATGAATAAATCATATATACCGGGTGGCCCCCCAAAAAAACGTTCCGAACTCTGGAGGCCTATATCTCAAATTCGAGTGCAAATAACAAGCCAAAATTTTCATCAAGTTTGCGTCACTTCTTTGCGCATTGGTTTGCTTTTTTGCCGTTGTTGAACGGAAGTAATCATTGGCTTAGACGAGACGTACCATGTTAGGAAAAATACAAAAATAGAACGGCGTGAATGATACCAGCACGTGTGTTGCTATTTTAAATATTTGTGGCCCACTTATGTGCCAAATATTCAAATACTAAGCCAAAGCTGTGTTAACCCGCGCACCGACGGGGGTCTGCGCCAACTTCGTACCGACGGGGGGGGGGGGCGGATGACCGCCCCCCTGAGATCTCGAGAACGAAGCAAGATAGCGACAAGCGGTAAACGGCATGGGATACGCACGGACAAGGTCTACAATTTTTACTAAGGTCATTTTCAGGTCAGGTCAAAGATGACGTCACAGGGGTCAAAAAAGTCAAAATGGCGGCGCTAGATATGGAGTTTTTTTCTCGAATAACTTTCGAACTAGTCAAGATAGGAACAATCTAAGGGCACCATCGTGATCCTCTCGTCAATCCACATCGAATGATATATATGTTGACCTCGAAAGATCAAGGTCAAAGGTTGACTTCAGGTCACGTGACCTCGAGGTCATCATGTATATCATTCGATGCGTCTTGACGAGCTGAACACAATGAGACCATCCGCGCGGCTGTATCTTGTTCCTGTACGGAGTCATTGGCAAAAAAAACTTTGGTGACCTTTGATGACGTCACATGACCTTACAGCTGCCCAACAGCAAAACAGACCTCAAGGTAGTGTCGGTTGATCGTATATGAAGTCAGGTATGGTATATGGGGCCATTCCGACCCGTTTTAGTGGTAAAAACAGGGAGTTGATTTTCCCCCGTTGACTTATAATGGGGAGGTCGAGAAATTGACCTGACCTTAGGTCACCGATATCAAAATTCCGAGATATACAAATTGTAGCTACTAATGACCTAATAACATCCTGCGACTTTCAAAGGCCTCCGACATCTACTGTAGCTCTGGCACGGTGACAAAGTTGCAAAAAAGCGACTTGAGGTTGGGTCATTCAATGTGACCTGGTGACCTGACCTTAAAGGAAATAGTTCACTTTCACGAAATTATTTTTTTTGCAACGATTTATTATTTTTTATGTTCAAAATAATCAGCAAAGAAAATAAAACCTTTTTATAACAAAAGATTTTTTTTTCTATATTTTGATATAGGAAGAACTTTTCAGTTTCTGTAAGGCACAAGCGATCCAGTATGAAAAGAGCATGGGTCCCGAAAATTCTTCAGAAACAGAGAAATTATCGCAGCCACCGGCATTTGGGCGATCTGCTCGATCTGATAATGTTCCCCTGAATGTCCTAATTGATCAGTACGAGAATTTCTCTAGAGTTCTCGTAGATAATTTATCTAGTTTCTGAAGAATTTTCGGGACCCATGCTCTTTTCATACTGGATGGAAATATATGCAAGGCACACATCCTCAACGCAAAACACCTTTTTCGGGACGAGAAATAGAATATCTTTGCCTAGGGTGATCGTTGGGCTGTAAAAGCTCCTGATTTATGCTCGTCTCAGCCCAAGCTACGGAACTGCTATTCCAGTTCAAAACCCATGTTAAAAAGTGAACTATTTCCTTTAAGAGTTAGGAGGTTCAAACTTGCACATCATGTGTAAAATTGATGAAAGAATAGTCGTACCAAATTTTGCGGCGCGTAGCGCCGCGGTTTTCCCGCTATTCGCGAAAAACCTCAGGGGGGGGGGCGGATATCCGCCCCCCGTCGGTGCGCGTGTTAATGGATGCCATTCGTTTCAACACAAGTCCTGTTTCGAGGCGAAGAAGTGGCACGGTGCATGGGTTACTGCTGATCGCCCTCCCTTCAAGAAGATCATATATAGTCTAGAAGATCATAGAATAGTCTCTGTGTGCCGGTATTTAGGTGTGTTCCCCCCAGTTTTAACCCTCGCCGGCACAGGCCATTTTGAGTCCTTCGACGGCACAAGGGGGGGGGGGGGGTTGGTACGACCCCCCTCGCGTTTGGCCCCTGATCGAGCTAGAGCTTCGCGGAAAAAACGAGCGTGTTGCCCGTCACGAGAGGAAGCCGATGATACCCAATTTTAAGGTCCTAGGTCATCGGGTGACCTTCCAGGTCAGGTCAATGACCCGAAAACCGGGAAAATCGGGACCTGTTAAAAAGTCGTAAAGTGTGGCTGCTATGCGGTTTTCCGGGGTGCTGATCACGAATATCGTGTTAGTTTTGATCAGAGATGATGTCTTTGAGCATTTAGACCAGGTCGGGTCAGGTTAGGTCAGGTCAACCGGTAGGGGTTGTGATGGGTATTCGTAATACGTGTCAACCGCCTCGGACAGCTTCGTAACATGTTACGAAGGCACCAAAACTACTTCGTAAATGTTCAAATGGTTGCTAAATTCGAATTCCATGGTGTGTCAAAAGTGGAAATAGCCGGTACGCCCAGTGGCGGATCCAGGGGGGGGGGGGCAAAATGGGCATTTGCCCCCCCCCCCCAAACGGCATGATTTTAACATTACGCCTATGGACGATGCATGGAAAGAATCGATAAATTTTTATGGTTTGCCCCCCCAAACCTCTGAGCTGGATCCGCCTCTGGGTACGCCGTCTGGCAACCCGGCAGCCCGCCGCCATAGGGAAATTCATGCTTTTTGTCGCTTTTTCGCTCCTTATGAGTCACTTGATCTAATTAGAGCTTAACTAGGAACGAGGCGGGTCACTTGGACGTATTCGGGAGCCGAAAACTGTGTTTTGGAGCCAATACCTGGGAAACCCTACCCGCCCAATGCGAGTTTTTAAGAGTCTGCATGCCCAAATTAACGTTGAGCGCGGCCGTTTTCGGTCGGTTTTCCGCGACCTTGTGGCGAAATCGCCTTATTTATTCAACCAGGGTGGGCTAATTCGCTTAACTAGGAATGAGGCGTTGAAGAGAATTATTCAAGGAATAGAGCTGTGCAAAAATATTTTTTGTATTGTTAAAACTGTATCCGCCCTCGAACGATAAATATTGTTGACCCATCAGAAACACATCCCCAGTGGAATGCGTTTGGACTTGGCTGGATCTAATATTAGCGAGTATCTGCTAATGCAGTTTCTTGGCTTACACAGTACGCACACAAGCATACATGCTTCCTGCCCTTGGTTATTCCTCACTTGAATGAAAATTTTGCTATAATAACTATTCCAAGCAGTTAACAGGTTTTAGTGCAGTGCCAATTCGGAACCGTTCAGCGCCGCCAGTCTCCCAAGCGGCGCGTAGCGGCCGCCGCTGGCCGCCGCGCCGCCGCTCTGGCAGGGTGTTTGACTTCATATCTCTGTTGCTAGAAAAGTTGTGGACCGATTTACTCGATTCTTGCATGAAAAGATCCGCCATTCAATTCTTAGCAGATAACGAAAATTTGACGTCAATTGCACGATCCGCTGCCCATATTGTGGTACTGCCATCTATTGACAAGGCTGGCGAACTAAAGCCGGACGGCTATTTCCACTTTTGACACACCATGTCAGTTCCAAAAACTAGCCTAGAAACATGTAAAACTCGGAAAAGTAAACCGAGGTCACCCGAGGTCACCAAAGGTCAATGACCTGACCTGACCTTCAGGTGACCTTGACACCCACCCTAATGCATGGGAGCAGCATCAAATCACATGTTTGAACGTTTGAAACCACGAAAAGCTTGCAAACGCGCGGCTAATGCGAGCCGACATGCGCCGAACCGCGATTTCGGTCAAACACGGTCACAGAAAAGAGGTCACAGGTCAAAGGTCATTTGGGTCAGGGTCATGAAATTTTCAGGGTTGGTGTAAAATTGATCAATGCGAGGGTACTGAAAGTTTCGTCGCGATCGGCCGCTTTTACTCGAGTTATTCGCGAAAAACCTTGGGGGGGGGTTGCATCAACCCCCCCCCCCCCTGTGCCGGCGATGGTTAAACGTTTTAGTGATTGTGTCGCATTTGGAGAATCTTATGAACTAGTAGGCATCCGTTTTACATGTGTTTGCTGTTATTCGTTTAACTGTTTAACTGTATTATGTTCGATGTGCATGTTAATTCCCACGTTTTTGTCTATTTGCTTAGCTACAAGGGAGGGGACACGTCCCCTGCATCCAAAATGTTAGCGTAACGGGGATGTGCTATCATTTGTCCCCCTCCCCAATAATTAGCTACACCTAAATCAAATCTGCTTCTTAGATCTGCTTCTTAGAAAAGCAGAATTCCCTGATCAAGATTGTCCGAAGGATCAAAACACTGAATGTAGCGGGCAATGTTGTTTTTTTTTTATATTATTATGCTTTCGCATTTTTGATGTTGTTTATCATTGCGGTGGTTTTTACCTCATTCTTTTTTATAGGCTTCATGTATTTAAGTTTTTCTCCGGTGACCCAAAACGACAGGAATTTTCTTTCACCATATATCAACGTGAGTTTTCTGATACTCACCTTTTCACGTTTTTATCAGGTGCACGTGACAGTCCGTCCGTTTCTCTCAGGTGTACCTAATATGACAGTGTCTCTCGTTTTTCTCAGGTGTAATGTGACAGTCCGTCCGTTTCCCTCAGGTGTGATGTGACAGTCCGTCCCGTTTCCCCAGGTGTGATGTGGACAGTCCGTCCCGTTTCCCTCAGGTGTGATGTGGACAGTCCGTCCCGTTTCCCCCAGGTGTGATGTGACAGTCCGTCCGTTTCCCTCAGGTGTGATGTGACAGTCCGTCCCGTTTCCCTCAGGTGTGATGTGACGGTCCGTCCCGTTTCCCTCAGGTGTGATGTGACGGTGTGGGACAAGCCGGAGCCGGTGGAGCGGTCCTTTCTCCTGGAGAATATAAAGGGCAAAGACGCCCTGTTCTGTATGGTGACGGAGAAAATCGACAGGGAGCTGCTGGACGCGGCGGGTAGGTCCGCCGGCACTCAGCCGCCGTCACACCGCCCACAGTGGTCCACAGTGGTCCACAGTGGTCCACAGTGGTCCACAGTGGTCCACAGTGGGCCACAATGGTCCACAGTGGGCCACAGTGGGCCACAATGGGCCTCAATGGTCCACAATAGTCCACAGTTTGCACATACCTATCACAGACTCATAATTAATAATTTGAGTTTGTGCTTATGAATAAATAATTAAATCAAATAGAAGCACATTATACATACCTAGGTGAAAACATACGTATTTTTCAGTTTAGAAGATATAAACGCACATTATGGTATGATGGCTTCAATTTTTTACGTACTTTCCGCGAAAAAACTGCCTAAACGGTTCGAAAAATATTCCCCGATGGACTCAATGAAGAAAAACGAAACGGCCCGTCCAAACGCAAGGTTATGCCTTCATTCTGGTGAGTGATGTTTCGAAGCGTACCTTCTTTAAACGCTTGTCACACTGTCAATGTCTTGCTTATGTGGGCAAATAAACCGGTTATTTAAGTCGAGCATCGCCTTATGAGCCTGCGATACGTGTCATCTGTTCATTTGCTGATACTGTTTGTTCTTGTCTGATTGGTAGATGAGACTGTGTTTTCGTCTGATTGGCTGATGCTCTCTTCTGATTGGCCGATGGGGTTGTGTGCTCTGGTCTGATTGGCTGCTGAGTCTGCTGGTGTCTGATTGGTCGGTGGCGCCGCCCCCAGGTCCGTCGCTGAAGGTGATTGGCACGATGTCGGTCGGACACGACCACATTGACATGGCCGAGGTCAAGGCCAGGGGAATCAAGGTGAGCTTTGTGAGCTCTTTGACTTCCGTGTGCCCCGAAAAAGAGAAACAACCCATTTCCTGCGGGCTGCGGGAATATAAATAAGAAAAGAGTAATGACACATTGTAAACACAAATGTTCCACGTAAAATTTTTGCACTTTAGGTAAAAAAGCATTGGCTTGATAACACTAAATTTTGGCACGCGTTCTCGGAGTCCATATTTCTGGGATCATCTTCGTTAAAATTTGAGAAATGTGGCTGATGAGCCTGGAGATGACGTCACTAGATAAAGACATACGATAACGGACACTATCGATCGTTGCTAGAATGACCCCTCTGTGTTTTTGTCGGTTTCGCTATTTTCGCTAGAAGCCCTCGTCTCAGGTTTATATGGTATGATTAATCTAACTGCTCTCTTTTCCAGCTCGGTTTCTCCCGTTTCACATGGAATTGAAACAAGAGCCTTTTCTCCGTCTTAGGTGGCGTTTCTCCGTTTCTCCCGTATTTCACGCGGTGTTTCTCTGTTTCAGGAGGGGTTTGTCCGTTTCAGGTGGATTTGATGCTATTGTATATAGGCAGTGATTCTCCGTTTCAGGCGAGTGGCGATATATATTTCTCCGTCTCAGACTGGTTTAGTGCAGTTTCAGGCTGCGTTCTCTCCGTGTCAGACCGCGTTTTCTCCGTGTTAGGCCGCGTGTCTCTGTTTCAGGCCGCGTTTTCTCCGTGCCAGCCGGCGTTTTCTCCGTGTCAGTCAGGCGGCGCTTTCTCCGTTGGGCAGGTGGGGCTCACGCCTGACGTGCTGACGGAAGTGTCAGACCGCGTTTTCTCCGTGTCAGGTGGCGTTTTCTCCGTGTCAGCCGGCGTTTTCTCCGTTCGGCAGGTGGGGTTCACGCCTGACGTGCTGACGGACGCCACAGCCGAGCTGGTGATGGCCCTGCTGCTGATGACCGGCCGCCGACTGGTGGAGGCGCGACAGCAGATCTACAAGTGAGTGAGGCCACACAACATTGTGAAAATAAGTCCAGTCCCCGACCCCAGCCTGTCATCGGGAAATGGCGGGCTGTCGCGCATCTGTATTATAAAGTCGACTATTGACGATAGGGATCCCTGCCTCCCTCCTGCTTATTGCTATATGTAGGGGAAAGTGGGTGTATTGCGCCCTCCTAACCAATTGCGCCCACCAACATTCCCACGGATTCAATAGCATGTTTAGAATTTTGTGTTCGAAAACATTATTTTCACCACTGGATTGTTCATTTTATGGCCCAAACACTCCGATGAAGCCAATCAGCAAGGCTCATTACGCCATCAAAGATGTTATAGCGTTTTCTTAACTTTTTTGCAGTATTTTGAACCGTTGGCTATAAAAATTTACGATATTTGTGTGATTTTCAGAGTGATATTTAGAAAGAAAAATCCTTTTTTCATTGTATTTCACTGAAACCGTAAACTTCCTGCAACATCTTTATGATAACTTCTATGCTTTTATCAAAAAGTACCTCAATTTTAATTGCGCCCATGGCAATTGCGCCGGGGGGGCGCAAATAGAATAATGGTGTAGCCATTGTATCACGACAGTATGAATGCATCATTAACTGATTGCAATAAAGAAGGAGTTTTATATCAGGCAAGGGAGCAGCCCGCTGTCGTCAGTCCGCAAATTATATCTATCGTCAAACTTATAATGCAGCTGCCATTTAGGCTACGACTTGTGGTGTAATTGACAAAATACGACATTTTCAACATGGATTCAGGCGTGAGAAGTGACAGCTATGATGAAAAAGTAAAAACTGATGTCATTAAGTGTCAAAACTATAAAATTATTAAAGGTAGTGTGCCACCTTTGAAAGATTTCCCATTTTATTTTTCATAGGATAAGAAGCTTCTGTTTTTACCTAATATCGCAAAAAAAAATCAAAAATGGGCCTGGAATAGTGCCTTTTTCGCCTAAAAGTTTATCGGTTTTTAGATATGTATGACAACTGTAGTGGGCTCACCTGCAAACAGGCGTCGGGCAACAATCGCGAATGCGGCGCACTTGTGACAATAAGCAAAGGTCATTATAGTGTTACGACCATACGACGTACGGGAATGAGTTATCAGCTGTCTAATCGTAGACAACACAATGTCGAGCCTTAAACTGTAAGCCCGTATTGGTACTGTTTCTTTTATTTGGCTGTCGAACATTATTTATGGTTTGAAATATGATTTTATGTAAAATAATTGATATGAAAAAGCCGTCTTATAAGTTATGACCCCATTTCGCCACACGCAAGTGGCAGAAATGACAATGATCAGCTGACGCATTTTTATTGGCCGAAGTCAGAGCGCGCGGCCCGACGCACCACGCGTATTTGGAAATTCCGACCTCGACGAGCATCAGAAGCCACCTAACAGGCGTGTTCGAAACCGCAGGAGATGATGATGAACGGGTTTATCGAAACTTGATTGGATGAGCATATCGGTAATAGCGATTTCAGTGTGTGCATTTATTGTTCATAGTGGTGTGAAATGTGGTTGGGGTACGACCGACAACCCGTCGGGGCGAATTTCGCACTGGGGTACTCAAAATTTGAAGAATTTAAGACGTTTCCATGAGTTTTGAAGGTATGGATAAGTTCTAAAAATCCGGTTCTCCTTATCTGGGCCATTAACTCCATACGGTCCAAGAAAGCTGGCACACTACCTTTAATTTTGAGAGAGCCGATTGAAAATTGAACTGTATAGGCGCATACGTTCACATATATCTAGTCAGTTACAGTAAACGTTTTCGTTGCACTTTTACAAGCGTACGGACACATGTAAAGTTATCTACCTGGGCAAAAGACATCGCGATTTATATCTACATGTATTATTCATCCACCCTGAATAACATTATAAATGTTTAAGTACGCCGCAATGACATTAGACTGCCGGGGTGTGTGCATTCCGTCTCATTCACTTAGCCATGTAAAATATAGGGCGCAATTGGGTTCTAATTGCGCCATACCCCTGGCGCAAATTACAGCACTTGTTTGCAAATGCGCCCTTTTGCATGTTTCTGAAAAAGCAGCTGTCAGAAGCAAACGAAACATTATTAATTGATCGGGAGGCTCTTAAATCGTAGCCAATGAGCTCCTCTTTGAAATGGTTACCAGTGCATGCTTATATCTCCAGCGGTTTTCTTGCAATTAGCGTTTTTCCTTAAGGTGGCGCAATTCACCCTCCTTCCCCTAGAGCCGAGCTATCGACCAACTCTGCGTAATGATATGTTTTGGCTTTTAGAATTTGACCGTTTGAATTATTCAGTAAGATAAAAAGACAAATGTGATTGCGGTGTGATTATCTACCGCGGTGGCTGGTTACTCGCAGTGGATACTGGTTACCTGCCGTGGTGGCTGGTTACTGGCAGTGGATAGGTACTGGTGACCTGCCGCGGTGGCTGGTTACTGGCAGTGGATACTGGTTACCTGCCATGGTGTCTGGTTACTGGCAGTGGATACTGGTTACCTGCCGCGGTGGCTGGTTACTCGCAGTGGATACTGGTTACCTGCCGCGGTGGCTGGTTACTAGCAGTGGTTTTTGGTTATCTGCCGTGGTGACTGGTTACTCGCAGTGGATACTGGTTACCTGCCGCGGTGGCTGGTTACTCGCAGTGGATACCGGTTATCTGCGGCGGTGGCTGGTTACTAGCAGTGGTTTTTGGTTATCTGCCGCGGTGGCTGGTTACTCGCAGTGGATACTGGTTACCTGCCGTGGTGACTGGTTACTCGCAGTGGATACTGGTGACATGCCGCGGTGACTGGTTACTCGCAGTGGATACTGGTTACCTGCCGCGGTGGCTGGTTACTAGCAGTGGTTTTTGGTTATCTGCCGCGGTGGCTGGTTACTCGCAGTGGATACCGGTTATCTGCGGCGGTGGCTGGTTACTAGCAGTGGTTTTTGGTTATCTGCCGCGGTGGCTGGTTACTCGCAGTGGATACTGGCTATTTGCCGCGGTGGCTGTGGTTACTGATCCTCATGCATAGGCGGCGGAACGGGGAGGGCACCGGGGCACCGTGCCCCCCTTTGATTTTGGCATTTTAACATAAGCCCTATGGGCGTTGCATGGAAAGAATAGGACCAAAAGTCGGCAGTGCCCCCCCCCCCCTTAATTGAAGGTGTTCCGCCGCTACTGATCCTCACGTGTGTTTTTTCCTCAGCGGAGGCTGGGCGGGCTGCGCCTGGAGTCCGCTCTGGATGTGCGGACAGGGACTGGCCGGCAGCACGGCAGGTGAGAGGGGCACGGGGTGACCTCACAGGGACAGGGGGCACGGGGTGACCTCACAGGGACAGGGGGGCACGGGGTGACCTCACTGGGACGGGGGTCACGGGGTGACCTCACTGGGACTGGCCGGCAGCACGGAGGTGAAAGGGGCGGCCTGACCTCACAGGGACTGGCCGGCAGGACGGCAGGTGAGAGGGGGCACGGGGTGACCTCACTGGGACTGGGGGGGGCACGGAGTGACCTCACAGGGACTGGCCGGCAGCACGGCAGGTGAGGGGGGCACGGGGTGACCTCACAGGGACAGGGACTGGACGCCAGGTGAGAGGGGGGCGGGGTGACCTCACAGGGACAGGGTCTGGCCGGCAGGACGGAGGTGAGAGGGGCGGCCTGACCTCACTGGGACTGGCCGGCAGCACGGCGGGTGAGAGGGGCACGGGGTGACCTCACTGGGACAGGAGGGGGCCGGGGCGGAGTGACGGTACGGACCACCCCCGCCCAGTGCTCACAGCTGAAGCGTATCGTGCTGACAGAGAGTGCCGGCGCCACACAACAGGAGGCGGCCACTTCTCAGCAGCTGTGGGTGCACCGGGCACTGCAGTGGCCAATGGCAAACACTTGTGAAAGTGCTACAGAGGTTCATAAGCGCCGTGGTGGTACTGTTGGTCTATGTCTATTGGTCTGATGGTTTGTTGATTTGTGCCTGTTGGTGTGTAGGTCTGGGCGGGCATGTTGGTTGATTGGTCTGTAGGTCTGTTATTCTGAGTCTTCTGCCTGCTGGTCTGGGACTGGGTCCGCTGGTCTGGGTCTGATGGTCTGGGTCGGCTGGTCAGTTGGTGTGTTGTCCTTTTGGCCTGGTTCTGTTGGTATAGGTGTGTTGGTCCTTAGGTCTGTTGGTTTATAGGTATGTTAGTCTGGGTTTGTTGGTTTGGTTCTATTGGTAAAATCTGATGGTCTTAGTCTTGTGGTCTGGCTATGTATGCTCGAGTCTGTTGTGTGGCCTGTTGGTCTGGGTATGCTGGTTGGTTGCAAGTTGGTATGGGTCTTTTTGGTCTGCTGACCCACTGTGTCCGCACCGGCAGGGATCGTTGGTCTGGGACTGCTGGGTCTGGTGGCCTGAGTCTCTTGGTCTGGGTCTGGGTCTGTTGGTCTGCAACTAGGTCTGTCGGTCTGTTGATCTGGATTTGCTGGTCCGTTGGTTTGGGTCTGTTGGTCTATGTCTGTTGGTCTATGTTTGTTGGTCTGTTGTAGTGGTGTCAATCGGTTACCAAAATTTCGGTATACCAATACCGAACCGATACCGATTCGGTATTCGGTATTGTATACCAAAAGCATTTGGTATTTTGTCGGTATTATGTAAGTCAACTATACTGTCATAAAAAAATTAAAACATTTTTTATAAACCTTCTGAACTCAAATTTGATTTGCTAAATGACATTGGATGAAGAAAAAGGACAATCATGACACATTTCTCCCAAATGCATGATGTCATAACAAATGGGCAAACACGCTAACTGCAACATCAAACACATCAGTCTACCAATGTTAAATGGCAACTTATCAGTGCCAGCAAATTCCAATACCATGAGGATAATTATGTTACAAAAAATTAATGTGCAAGACATGTACATTAAATATTACATACATTGCATTAAACATGTATCAATGTTTAACTCACTGTATACTGGAAAACATACTCTAACTACCTTACTCAAAATTTCCAAAGCATTCATTGGTAACAAATTTGACTTTGTTTTGAGAAGTCTGTGATTGATCTTGACCTTGTCTTGCTCTCCATTTCACTGCAATGCGGTTACATTATCCAAAAGTCAAAACCCTGTTTTTATAGCACTAGCTTCACCAATATCATCTAATATTGAAGGCAGCATTTATCACTTCATCATCACCCCACAAATTCTCAACTTCCTTCAACTTCAAAAAGATCCTGTGGATAATCTAAGGCCTGGTCGGAATCGGCTGCTGTGCTGTTGTCAGCTGAGATCCAAGCCCCTGATTGGTTGAGATATTGATGACGTATCACGCCTTCCCGCGCTGTGACGTCATACCTCTGCTGACAGCCGGCTTTTCGGCTGCTGGGAGAAGGCAGCAGCACGTCAGCCGAAATTCAAAGTGGCTCGAAAGTGGCGCATGTAAGTCAAAGCGCAGCTTTATAGTGCAGGTGGTTAGTTTTTATATACGATGTTTTTGACGTATTTTGTAAATATTTTTCGCGAAAGATAGCAATTATTTCTTTTTCATGGCGCAATGTGCGAGTCAGCCTGAAAACAGTACCTACAAATCGAAATGCCAGCACTGCCTCAATTATCAATCCTGTAATTTTTTTCTATAGCCTCGGCAAATAAACCTCAGAAATATAATGTAACGACTAACGGAAGATAGTCGTTGAAAAAAGCGCGAAAATGCTACCTCTCCTCAAGTCTCAACTCTCAACCCTATCTGTCGAGCGCCATCTTAGCATCTAAGCGCCATCTGGGCTGACGTTTCCTGTCAGCCGATTATGAACAAGCCCATCAGCAGCGTGGTGTGGGCGGGGCTTATTCTCGGCTGACAAAGTTCTGTCAGCCGATTCCGACCAGGCCTCTATTTTCTTTACTTAGTGTTCTCTTTCCTGCTCTCCTCAACAGATAGAAATCGCTAGCAATGTAATCAAAAGCATTCCTAAAATATGATTGGGTCTTGGCTTGATTCGCAATTAGCAGTTTAAAACTGAACACATCTAAGAACTTTTAAATGTCGCAGCTGCGCCAAAACCCGATGTAGCTCAAAACTAATTTAAAATAATTGAGCAACATTGTTTTTCTGGTTCATTTTTTAGCGATAGCGGCGTACAATCTTTCTTGAATTAATTTAAAGATACCAAAATATGAACATCATATTTTTTAAATTAAGTTTACATAAGCAAAAAAGAAAAAAAACTTTATTTTATGCAGTTCCGTGCGCGTATTTACAAATTGCAACCGAGCTCCGCCGTAGGGTATTTTATTTCCGCCGTAGTGTATTTCACTTGGGGGATTTTCTACCATACATCTGCCTGAGCTTAGGGTAATTACAATTTGTCGGCGACGTTAAAAAATAATGCACCTTTTTTCGCAGTATAGGATATCGCATGTGCATATTTCTGCCTTTTTGGGTGCGATTTATCGGTTTTTCGTGAGTAACTCGCGTAAAAACCGTCCGATCGCGACGAAACTTTCAATACCCCCGACCAATTTTATTAATTTTACACCTACCCTGAAAATTTCATGACCCTGAATCAAATGACCTTTGACCTGTGACCTATTTCTCGAGACCATGTTTGGCCCGAATCGCGATTCGGCGTATGTCGGCTCGCATTAGCCGCGCGGTTGCAGTCTTCACGTGGTTTCAAGCGTTGAAACATGTGATATGATGCTGGTCCCATGCATTAGGGTGGGTGTCAAGGTCATGCCTGAAGGTCAGGTCAGCTCAATGACCTTTGATGACCTCGGTTCACTTTTTCGAGTTTTACATGTTTCTAGGCTAGTTTTTGGAGCTGATTTCGAATTTAGCAACCATTTGAACATCACAGGGGGTGTAACGAAGTTATCCGGACACCTTTCTTCCCGCTGTAAAAGCAAAACAATCTGGTACTATTCTTTTAACTGAGCTTGTGGCCACCTTTCATAAAAACACAGTTTACTCACCTCGTTGGTTTCTGCATATCTTTGGGGTGGTTTCAAAGGACAGTCAGAGAGGAAATGAGGAACCCACACAGTGGCGAATGTTCTGGAGCATTTCAGCCAATGGATTCTCCAGCACACTGGCTTTGATGAGGACCAACGCCGTCTAATCCTGTGCCTGCGGTTGAGCAGTGCTTATGGCGGGTGGCTCTTCATAAACATCCTGCTGAACAAGAGCCCACAGGTTTTCGATTGAATTGGGATCACGACTTTTTCCAAGTCATAAGCGTTAGCCCAGAATGATTGAAGGTTCTATCGGCATCACTTCCCGTTCTTTTAGGGACTTTTAAGTAGCGCGCCGCCCCGCATGAAGACAGCGTGGCTTGAATCAGGCATCAGTGCGCGTTCAGAAACCGTGCCCTCCTATGCCGTCTGGTTGAGCGCCTCCAATCATGCTCCACCACCTTCCCTGGAAAAGCTCCACCCTTGCCTATGGGGCAAAATATAAGGGACAAAACACAAGACAAGACAGATAAAAACAAAGCAAAATTAACTCATTACCTAATGAAATTCAGGCTGGAGCAAAAACATAGGAAATAGGTATCTTTGTCAAATTAGAATGAAAGATTAAAATCAACCTGACCAGGCCTTACGGTCTGACCGGGTCCTAACCACCAGGGCTGCGGAGTCGGAGTCGGAGTCGGAGTCGGAGTCGGTCGGAGTCGACAGTTGTGACCGGAGTCGGAGTCGATTTTAGAAACCCGAGCCGGAGTCGGAGTCGGAGTCACCGAGAATCTGTCGACTCCGCAGCCCTGCTAGGTCTGCGGAGTCGGAGTCGGGAGTTGGAGTCGGTCGGAGTCGACAATTCTGCCCGGAGTCGGAGTCGGAGTCGGAGCTGGTTTTTGAAAGCCGGAGTCGGAGTCGGAGTCGGAGTCGCCGAAAATCCATCGACTCCGCAGCCCTGCTAACCACCTTACTTCGCCTAAATTGACCCAATTCAACCTAGCCTACCACAACACCTGCAGGTTGCAGAGGTACCTTCCTGGAAAAATGACGCCCAGGGAGATGACTGTCCAACTTATTGGAATACTACCATGATTGCTTGTAAAAATGTGTGTCAAGATGCTCTTGTTTGAAAAGTGATGTACATATAATAAATGTGATATTCAATAATTATCTCCTGACTGTTGACTGTTGAGTGTTCAAAATATTCAAATAATCAGGATACAATCCTGTGCATAGTGCACACTAATCATGTTGTTTTTGTGTAGGCCCTCTGCACATTGTTGTGTGCACTGCTATGTGCACCTTAAGTAAAAAAGTGACTGGTGGTACATGACAAAAGGTTGA